ACGAAGACAACCGACGAGGGAACTTAGTTTTTTATAGGTTTAGGCTCAAGAAAGAAGTCATCCGCCGAGGGATTTTAGTACCGATAGTATTAGATAGTTACGATTTAAGTTATTTATAAGGTTTATTGTCAAAGGTGGGAAGATGTAGAACTTGTGATTCCATCTACCTGCCTTGGGCCTCCACTCGCAGCAACCTCCTCGTGGTGAGGCCTGGGTAATCGGTATTATCATCGGTAAAGTACTGTAAACTGATGACAATATCGAGCTAATGGCTGCGAACTTCGAATCTATCTCATAAAACCACGTTCTATATTATATCGAACTAGGATTATTTTAGAAATCGATATGAGATTCAAAGTGTAAAAATGTCTAGTACTTTGAATGTTTTAGAAAAGTATTCGAGATAAAAATGTATGGAACTACTGAAAATTACTTTACATTCCTTTTCCTTATTCTGTAAATTCTTTGATTGAAATATGAATGTTGCTGGAAATATGAACATTTTCACAGGACAATGATATAAATGGAACTTTAAAACTTTTTTAAGTGTTACAGTGATATTTCGTTATATGTTCCATAATGTCAATAATATTGATTTCCTTGCAACATCCATAATTATTACAAATGTCAATATAACGAAATATCTTTTATGCGATGTTTGTGGTGTAATAAAAATCTGTGTTTCGATTACGTTTTTGATACGTATTACTCACTTATATGTAATAATATAGAATAAAAATATACTATTAGTCCGATATTTGAAAATATGCATGCGTTCGTTGTCACTGTTAAACTGTTGTAATAACAATGGAATAATAAAATAATTTACTCAAATGTACATAATAATACATATACATATCCATAAAAACAATATTAAACGCAATAACTTTTTTGTACGCGAAGAAAAACTAATATAGGTCCGTCGGGATTAGAACCCAAGACTCCTTTCTAATACGTCTATTTTATATCGAACGGTTGGAACAGAATCCGTTCACGACCATGGTCCCTTCTTAGATATAACGTAGTTCACAAATTCACCGTTCTCATAGCGTAGAGGGCAGTAGAAAATCCCTGACATTTTACACTATCGGTATTTTAGACCTAGTCGGTGGTTCCATCCACAAATTTGAATTTGCCGCCCTTTATGTTTTAGTAATGACGCATTCCAATATTGGATACACTAACGTTAGGTATTCCCCATGTATTCCTATGCCGAACTGTAGTGTTTTGCTCATTGATTGCGTGCGCGTGCACGTGTATACAAAGTAACGTAACCTGTACAAAATATTTGACTTTAAAATATTTGTAAAATATTTAACTCATTACGATGTGCATATAATATTCTGAAAAAATGAGTAACGTCGCTTTAAAGGAAGCGTAAGTAGTATTTTTAATGCCCTGAAATTATCTTTCTATATATATACACTGTAAACCAATTAATGTTAGAAGAAATTATAAGTGAACCGTACAGCTTCAAACTGTTTCCCATATTTTAAATAGGAAGAGAAATGTATTTCATGGCGTTCATATTGTTTCATTATATGAAAATAATAGAGTTCATTATAATATAGAGTGTTTTATTTTATCTGTGTCCTTCTTGTATAATAAATTAAAACATCTTCTTGTATATTATATTGTTTAAAAATGAAAAAAAGTATATACACAGGGTGTCCCATGCAACTGTTATAAGTAAAAGTTAAATGGTATCAGACAGAGCTTAATATGCAACTAATTTTATGCACTTTTGTGTATCGGTGCATCAGAAAAATGCAACTATATATATATAACATTTTGTTTAAAAAATATGAAAACTCAGAGTTTCTAATTCAAATTGGTTTTTACTAATGTTATATCCATGTTCATCTCTTTATCTCAAATTTTAGATTTGATGTTGAATCAAAGTGTGGACCATTTTATACTGGAGGAATTGTTCAAGTATGTTCTTCATAATTACTTTTCTTTCTGTAATATATAAAAGTATCTCACAATTTCCTATTACAGTGGAGTAATGATGGACAGTATATGTTCTGCCAAAAACATGGTACAATTTCTATAGTATCTTTAAAAGACTGTACAACATTAATATCCAATTTGGGTGAAGCGAGTAATAATGAAGAGGAAGATACAATTAATTCATTTACTGCAAGCACTAATGACGAGAACATAATAACACATCACAAAAGTGGCCTCTTCAAATTGTGGAATTGGAAAGGTAAGTGAGTAATTATATTAGATAAAAAAGAAATATATTTACAATTTAAGATATGTAGGTCTGCCAGTTATATTGTATAGCATCAGCAAAGGGCATTAAATGTATAGTGCCAAGCAAAATTGAACTAATGAAGGTACCTTTCTAGAAAATGTTGATTTATTTAGTTATTAACGCAGGATTGGACTAAAACTTAGCTTCTGCTACACTTGTTACAGTAAATTTTTACTTAATATAAGGAAAGCTCTATATGCTAAACGTTTCTACATTATCCCCACTACTGGGGTGTTCCTCTTTGGTGTCAATCAAGCGAGTAATGTAATGGCCAATGGCTTCCCTTTTTGAGCCGACAACTGAAAGTTGGAAGTTACAAAACAATCAAAAGCCTTCACTTGGTGAAAAAACACTAATGCAAAATCGCGAACAATAAAGAAGTTTTATTTTCTAATGAAAATTGTATTATAATATTGGTGAGATTTTTCAGATTAAAATTAGATCAAACATGATATTATTTGAATCATATTTAATTATTTCATGTTATCTCATTTATTATCCTTTTTGGCTGTGGTACTATTTTTTACGATCTTTAAAATATACATGTTAAAAATATAATTTTCATTATGAATGACTGGAAGTGTACACAATTTATTATGCAGAACTTTTAGTGACTAATGAAAATTTAGAAGTGTCAGAATTCCCTCTGGTCGTTACCATCTGCTTACTCGGTTTCTGTATATGACTGGCAAAGCTATATTTATTAGAGTCTATCAATAATGTTAAGAAACCTAGATAGTCATTCATTTAATGGTTTCTTACAATAATGTTATACTATTTACATTAATTTAACAGTATGTTGTTATTTTAGATAATAAATTGGTCAAGGTATGGAAGTCCATTCACAAGGGTCCGGTACACCATATTGCTTATTGTAGTGAGCGAAATTTAATGGTCTCAGGAGGTATCGATGGTACTATCAAAGTATGGGACCTGAATCATCATACTTGTACTCATAATCTGAAGGGAGCTCAAGGAGTTATCAGGTACGGTAGTGCTTTAATTAGCTACACTTTTGTTTGTGTTCAATGTCACACTGAATATCTGACATTTGTGATTGCTTGGCAATTCATTCATGAGAAGTTTACGACCAAATCTCAGGAGAGATATAATAAGCTATAGAATATTCTGTGCAGTACTACTTCACAAAATGTATATTTTCAAACCCTCTTTAAGGGGCTATGCTAGTGTGATAGCTATGTAATAAGGCAATTTGTTGGAATTTTTTAAAGAAAAACTATTGAACTTATCAAGCCATAGTATAGACTCTTGTGGTTGTGAAATAAAAAAAAAACAAATATTTTCTTAATTTGTATTTGTGTGGCTATAGCCCGTACTAGAATAATTTTAAAAAATTGAGAAATAAAAAAATGGCGCTTTCCCAAACAAAAGGTTTAATTTATTTGTATAAAAATGGCTGGTTTTTTAACCCGCGAATTTGTAATTTTTAATATATCGAAAAACTCGTGGTACGGGCTAGAATGACACATCTCATGAACAGATATGCCAAGTTTGAATTAAATCGGTCAATTAGTTTTTAAGCTATCATGGCCGCCGATTAAGAAAAAGTAACTGCGAGAAAAACGCGATCAAAGTTTCAAGTACTGTTTTAGAGTATAAAAAGAGAAATGTTTCATACTTACAGCTAATCACCTATTCCGGGCCATATAAAACACCTTCCTCTTCCTAAAAAAATTGTTGCAAATTACATAAAGAAATATCCGATTATCTGAAACCGTCACACTAGCATAGCCCCTTAAAGAATGGACACTTTTTTATTTACTACCTTTTGTTTTCAATTTTTCGTAAGACTTTCTGTATGTGGAAAGTATGTTAAAAATAACACGATACAACTGAAGATACTTCCGATTTCGAGGATCTATATGTGGATCGTGAGGTTGTTTCGCTGATAATCGGCAGTTTATGTTAATAAATATTGTTCTGCATTAAATAAATTATAATATGTCGCGCGGCGGAACTCCCCGTCGTAACAATATAATAATTTTCAATAAAATTTTAGTGTCTTAGCCTTTCATCCAGACATTGAGAAGAACCTTGTGTTCGCTGCAGGTGACGATTTTAAAATTTACGGTTGGAATATAACAACTGGGAAAAACAAAATGACTCTTCCTGGACATTTTAGTAAAGTCACATCTTTATCATTTCACAGTAGTGGGAATTACTTAGTCAGGTAATACAATGGAATTGTTCTATACATTTCAGTAACAGATGGATGTATTAAATTTACGAATGCATAATGTGTATTGTTTTTATGTAGTTCGGGAAAAGATAGAGTATTAATTTTATGGAATATTTCCAATGAATCGTCAGTACGTGTTTTACCAGTCTATGAAGAAATAGAAGACATATTCATTATACCTAGTAATGTATCGCTACCTGTACCCCTTCATAATAAGTCAGAGGATAATGCTATTTATGTTGCTGCTGCAGGAGAAAAAGGTATGTTTATAGATATTACACTATAGTATTGTTAAAGAAGCATATAGTGCGTTTATAACGAAAAGAAGTTATTTTTTTTCGAAAGCGGTATAGTGCATAGTGAAGTACAGTTTAATTTTTACAGGTGTTGTTACAATTTGGGAAATGAAAACTGGCAGACAAGTGTATGTGCAAAAAAATTCCACTGTCTTAGCAGCCAAAGAAGAAGAAAACCTTTCTGTTACACATTTACTTTATAATAACAATAGTATTACTTTTGCTGTAGTTACTGTCGATCACAATATAATTATTCATTCCTTAGAAACATTTGAATGCATTAAGCAGGTATGTGTCGTTAAAATATTTGCTTCGTTTACTTTTAAATATTTATAAAAACTGAGGACATTGAACTTCTTACAGTTGGTGGGTTACAGTGATGAAATTTTAGATATTGTGTACGTAGGAGAGAATGGAAGTCATTTAGCTGTTGCTACTAATAGTTGTGATATAAAATTATATGAAATATCGACGATGAATTGTGAATTATTACGTGGACATACAGACATTGTGTTATCCCTTGCATCAACACCTGTTAATGTCTGCTTGTTTCTGTCTTCGGCAAAGGTATGCTCAATAATAACATAATTTCCACAATAACTGTTTCAAAATAATGCGAGGATTGTTCAAACAAGATAAGAATTACTGAAAATTTATTTGAAATTAATATTCCCAAAGTTGCGATGAACCTATTGCAATTATTACGCATGGCTTCCTTTTGATATTTCTCGTGTTGTATCTATAAGAATTCTGGAATCTTGTGAAGTATTATTTAGAAAATTTTTAAATGTTGCACATTTATCCAGTTTTCAAAAATATTACATATTTGTAGGATAATAGTGTCCGCGTATGGCATATGATTAAGGAAACTGCAAAGGTACATTGTATTGCATCTGCTACTAGGCACACTGCCTCCGTTGGTTCTATTGCAATTTCTCAAGCATCTTGTAAATTCTTCACTTCTGTTAGTCAAGATTCTTGCCTTAAACTGTGGAATTTACCATCAGATTTAAAATTTGAAGGTAACTGTTTTTCTTATCCGTATTATTCGAGCTTTTTTTTTAAACGTTTGATGTTATGCTAGATATTTAATGATTGCAGACGAAAACTCTCTAACTGTAGTTCATACAGTTGTGGCTCATCAGAAAGATATTAATTGTGTAACTGTTTCACCAAATGATAAATTAATTGCCACGGGATCGCAAGATAAAACAGCGAAAGTATGATAAGTGAAATTCAAAAAGGTTTATACCGTACTATTGGTTTATAATGTGTGCTTAATTTGAGAATATGTTTTCACGATTTATTTATAGCTATGGTCAGCCAATGACTTACAATTACTTGGTGTATTTCATGGCCACAAAAGAGGTGTCTGGTGCGTACGGTTTTCCCCTGTTGATCAAGTACTTTTGACAACATCGACAGACTGCACAGTGAAGCTTTGGTCACTGAAAGATCTCTCCTGTTTAAAAGTACGGTTGTAATTCATATAGATATAGTCATCGCAATATATGCCCGTTATTATTAATGATTTTATATCTGCCAGACATTGGAGGGTCATGAATCATCAGTATTGAAGGCAGAATTTTTAACACGTGGTATGCAGTTAATTACAGCAAGTGGGGATGGTCTTTTGAAACTTTGGAGTATTAAAACGTCAGAATGTGTATGCACTTTACAAGAGCATGATAGTCGTGTATGGACATTGGCTGGTAAGTATTATAGTCGGTGGACATATCTTACATATTTTACAGTACCTACATTAATATACTTTTTCCAAATATAGTCAGGAAAGATGAGAAAGCTATAATCAGTGGTGGAAGCGATTCATTGTTAATTATATGGAAGGATGTAACCGAAGAGAAAAAAGAAAAAGCAATATCAGAAATTAAACAGATTGCACTTGAAGAACAACAATTAGCAAATTTACTTAAGGCCAATCAGCTAAGTTCTGCATTGAGATTAAGTTTGAAATTAAAACGGCCTCTGCAAGTACGTAGGATTGTAGAATGTAAGTTCTAACTCTGTTATTATTATGATTACTATTTTAAAAAATTGTGTTGTTTTTTCCGATTGAGGGTTTAATTTTTCTGAGTCTAAAGTGATGATAGTATTTAACCAAATTAATTTTGAGGATTAAATTGTAAGAACAAGTATCTATCAAAATTATCTTAATTATTGTTATATTCTGTGAAATAGGTATTTTAAGCAAAAGTAGTTCCCAACTTACACAAACAATTGCTGAATTAAAACGTACGCATAAAGAAGAGCTGTTTACATGCGCTATTGCGTGGAATACGAACAGTAGAAGTTGCCACCTGGCTCAGGTATAAATTTTTAAATACAATTACTTACTGCAATTTTTTTTAACGTCTGGTAATTATAGATAACTAGATGTTTAAATTTTGTTTAATAGGTAGTTTTAAATGCCCTAATAGTGGAATGGGAATGTGAGAATATAAAATCAGCCTCCACACTGGAATCTGCAATACCATATACTGAACGGCATTATTCAAGAATCACAAAGTTGTTGCAAAATCTCCACCTATTGACATACACACTTAATCGTATAAAACCACATATGACGTCTGTACAAACCAAATAAAGTGGAATGAAATTAATTATACCCCAGTGTATCTGTTTTGTTAATTATTTACTTTTCCAATACCTTTGAAAATTTGTTTATACAGTGTAAGTGTTAAAAAAATGATTCTGAATTTTCATTTGGCAAACGCTTAAAATATTAGAATTGTGTTGTTCGAGCGTTGCATTGTACGAAAAATTGACGATGTAACTGTAAGGTTTGAGATTAGAATTAAGACATCTGATTGCCTTCGAATCTCTAACTTTCGTTCTTGGTTAATAAGCAAATTTTTGGTTATACTTTCTGTAAAAATACTCGAAACAAATATATTGTATAAAAACTAGTTTTCCACATGAAAATTTCTTTGTCAAAATTCCTTAAACGTTTTTCAGACAGACTAGCACCGTTTTAGTAGAATCATTTAACCTTACTTCATCTATGTATTTGTCGGAACGTTTCTTCTTCCTCCTTCAAATTAGTCTTGCTTCCTACCGTTTTTTCGACGTTGCACGCCAGTAACACTTGTTCGGCCACTTTTTAAATGACCAATTCACTTGTTACACAAAGAAGCCCCTAACGCGATTTTCGTCTTAGTTTAGCATATGCAATTACCCCTTAAACATTTCGACACATGTTGTCGAACAGCCTGTATGTTAATAAAATGTACATATTTATTCTGATTTCATAGCAGCCTGTAACATTACAATATTAATTAAGTTTACAATAACAAAACGTGGTAATGTACAATTCTGACATTGAATACAAAATGTATATAAAAACAAAACGCGCGTAAGCACAAAAAAATTAATGTATGTATAAGTTATTAGAATAGTACCTTGAAAAAATTATATCAATGTTTAGGTGCGCATCCATTTTTTCTACTATTACATTCTTGTATAATTGGTGAACATAATAGAAAAGTAGTTAGAAATTAAAATAAATGCCTATATGTATAATATTGTAGAGACCATATGTCAGCCACCTGAGCAATGGTGCCCTCCTGTTTTTCCTAGTTTCGTAACTTTCAACGGGTCTAGCGATCCCGGTCCCACAACATAATACATGAAAATACTCATAATTTCATTTTTAGCCTACAAACTTTCTTAAGTATTTTTTACATCGCATTACTCGAACCTAATCTGTTACTACAATCAAGTTTAGGAACTATGGTTGGCCAGTGTCAATTGTCTGAGAAGAATTTGGGAGAAACCTTCCGTATAATTTATGGCGTCATCATTACGGCTAACAGAACCAATACATATACACATATATACACGTGTGCTTCGTAAACAATGAGCGTGCACAGCTGAACACAAAGGTTTAGATGACACAACGAGAAACCTTGACTATCCAAACTTCGTAAACATAACTGTAATAACGTAATAGAACCATGTCGTTTGTTTCCTAGAACATGGATTATCAAAACGTTCGCTATAGTTTCTGAAATGCTTAATTCTAGACTTATTCGAGGTAGCACTTTGTAGAAATTAAAATTGTGTAACTCAGTACCTGACTGTTAAGTAGTAATGCAATTTAAAACCATTTTCGCTTATTGTGGCGTTTCTGTTTTACCTCAGTCTCGTCTATATCCTTATCGATATCCTTTTTAGATAATCTTTTCGACTTCTTCTCTTTTGTTTTCTTCTTTGGTTTGCCTTTCTTCGTTCTTGAACAACAGGGATCATACAGATCATTGTCCGGTGTGTCATTTTTCGTCTTAGCTGATAAAGAATGAATGATATAGCCACAATTTATGTTGAGCAATGTATTTACATAACAGTTCATTTACCAGCAAGCAGACCCATGTGCTTGTGTATACTTCGATCCTCTTCTATTTCTCTACGACGATCCATTTCCAAACACTCGACAATCTCATTCCGCTTCTCGACGATTTGTACAAGTCTGTTGGTTAATATAAGTAGTAATCAATCAAAGTAAATCAATACTTCATATTCTACAAGTGAGCAAACTGGTTAAGTTCATATACTAATTTAATTTTTTCTTTTTATTAAGAAACTAAAATTATAAAATACTTTGCTGTCTTCAAATGGGGTAAAATAATGAGAAGGATGTATATTGACTGTTCGGTTATTGTCACTGCAATAGTAATCTTACATAAGATCTTATGAATTAGCTGCCCACCGTGCGTTCACAGTAGCCTAACCTAAGATTAAAATTATAACTTACCCTCAAAATTTCAGATACCTGTTTTCGAACACCCTGTGTATATAAATATTTGACACAGTAGATGCTATCAATTATAAATAAAACAAGTATGACATTACATTTGGAAAAATTAAACTAACTATGAAATATTCTCTATCATTAAACCTATAAAACAAGCTAACTATTTGCAATACGAATGTCCCCTTTCATATCAAATAACCTTATATAACAGAAACAACCTTTTCCATACTTCTAATTACTGGGAAGATATTTTGATGATTACAAATTACTTGTAAACACTGTACTTCTATACAATCTCGAGTACTTACCTTTGTATTAATGCTTCTTCTTTCTGTTTCTCGAAATCCGTTTTTGTGGATTCGTTTTGCGACATTAAACATCGAATTTGATATTCGACCTCAACATGCTCTTCTTCCAATCTCTGTTGCCTTCGAAGTAACATTAATTCCGCTTGCCGTCTAAACAATTCATTTTTCTCATTTACAAGAGCGAATAGTTCTAAGACTAACTCCTCCACATCGGTTCCCAGTGAAACATCTGAAATTGATACTGGCTCAGATACTGTATAATTATTTATAATAAAATTAAGATATTTCTAAAAATGTATTGAATTAGGCAACCCGTTAAAAAAGTTCAATATTGTAATATAAATGAAAAAAAAAATCAAAGATTATAGACAAATCTAAGTGAGGGTATTAAAGACTATAATTTTAAAAAAGAAAGATGTATGTTTTGTTTGTGTTTTCAAGAAAACCCAAAAGTCATAACTCGTGTGTTCTTTTTCAGCAAATTCGAAATAAGCAAAATTATGTCTTAAACTGCGTTAACTTCGCACAGACTATACCATAGTTTAATTTGACCCAAATTCTTGACATTAAGTGCAGAGTGACTGGTTTTGAGTTAAACTGACCCACGATTATTCCGAAAGAAAAATTACTCGAAATTTGTACGCAATAAATTACACATATATTATTTGGATTGTTTAAAAATTCTAAATATAATTACCTTCATTATTCGATCCTGTTTCGCATTTATTCCTAATCAGTTGCTCTAATCGCACACCTTGTTTTTCTAGACCTTGTTGCTGTAATTCAATTTCATCCAATTCCAGTTTGACATCCTTAAGGGACATTACTTTTATCTGAAAGGTATGGAGCAATTGAAAGAAAATTGGACGCATTATTGTAACAAAAAAATTATACACTATCAAAGAATAAATATAGTTTCTATAATATGAAATTCCCAATTTTTAAATAGATGATAGTCACAGTATGATACTACCTACTATATAATTTGGATGGTTAAAAATTATACAGGTTTATTATGCAAAATGGTTGAAAACTTTTAGGATGAAAAGCACTCATTCAAATGAACTAGATACTTACAATTAACTTACATAGATTCTATTACTATTACAGTCAATGTTGCAGATTATAAATATGTATAGATAAAGTAGATGGGTACAATCAATAATTGCAATACATGTTATACGATTATTAAAAACAAAGTATGAAAAACATTCAGAATTTCATCAGCATCCATATCTAATTAAATGCATATTAATATTGCTATTCCTAAACTTAACAGTGATTGAATATGTAAAATATGTTATACATATGAGATGGACAGATATTTCTCTAAATAATCATAACTGCTCCATCAGTTAGTTGATACGTATAAATCAGAGTAATTAAAATTTTGTGTTTTGTGCTATTTTGGAAGATTGCACAATTGATTCAACCTATAAGAGTGCAATGGACAGGACACTTACTGGAGTACAAAAATGACTATATCTCAGGAATAAGATTAAATAGGGGACACATGTTTACACGAATTTTTTTCAATAGTTTCGTATACTCTGTTCATCACTGAACTGGGTCCCACATGTTAGCTAACAACCCAACTAATTTCATAAATAATATAGCGACATATAAAATTAATTTCGCCTATTAGAAATATAATTGATTGAAATCCATTTATCAATGGGGGATTCCGTAAAGAAACATCGTAGTAACCTATCCAATAAGTAATTTAATCCATGAAATAAGAGCTAACTTACTTTTCTTCTATGTGGTATTGGACATGGCGGAGCTGGCCCCTTCTTCCTTTTCCATTTTCCCTGTGTACTTTTGTCTGTGTATGGCGAGTGATAATCAGAATTATCCCCGCATGAAATGTGCGTGAAAGTTTGCTTGCTCCTGTTTAGTTCGTCTTTATTCGTCTTTTTATCTTCCCATAAATTCGTATTTTCAGTTATGTTATACGTTTCGATTATTGGAGATTCTTCGAGACTGAGTGTAGAGACAGCGGCTGTGTGACACGGTGTGCTTGTGGGCATCGGTGGCGGTGGAGCTGGTTTTGCTTTTCGTGCCTTGGGTGTTGTGCGTGGATATGAATTCTAATAATAAAAACATAAAATATATTAGTTATCCACGTATATACGTATATATAGTCTTGGTCAAAAGTGTTAGGTATCACATAAAGTATGAATTAAAAAAAATATTTTTGTATTAAACCACCGAAATGTGAAAAAAATCATTTTTGATTAATTTTTGCAATATTTCGTTGGGTCACCCTTTGCCCTAATGGCTAACAATCACAGTAATTTCTTTCTGACGTTCAGTTTACTGTTTTTCGGCATATTTCAAGGAAAACATTCTAACTTTCAAAATATTAACAACAAAATAAAAAATAAGTTGACGTGTGTCAGCAGCATATACTGACAGCAGCCTGTAGCTTTTACAAAGAAACAAAATGTAGAGTATGGACCGCTCAAGTACTTTATGGCTCACTATAAAACTTGTGAACTGTTTTAAAATTCTTTTGGACTGCCCAACAAAAGATGATGAACAATAGAAAAGTTTCAAAGTAATAGTTTAGTTAATAGTAATAAAGGTGCTTAATACTTTTGGCCAAGGCTGTACATAAATATATATGATCTGAACTAAAAAAAGGGGGGTTTATCATGGAAATTCCGATTTTAGAGAAACCAATTTTGCAACACTTCTCAAACTCACTGTTCAAACTGTTTGAACATGTTTGAACACTTGATTACCCATCACTACCTGTCACATATCACTTTTCCTAATCCAGAAAGTATTCTAGCACATATGGATCTTCGGGATCAAGAAAATAATATACCACATAGGACGAGTAAGCAGGTCGAAATAAGTACACAGTGTGTTCGTGTAAAGAGACTGCAATAAGGAAAATAATTATTACAAATTGGTGGAAATGCCACAGTATTTAATTTTTGTCGTTAGCAGAAACAGCAAGACATTTGTTTACTATTTCTGGAGGAATTATATTATTTCGGTATATTTTTTTAAATAAATTGGAACAAATTTTTTTTAAATAAAGGATACGTACATATTATTATTCGCTTATTTTTAAATAATTATCAACCGTCTCATGTAAAACAATAATTTATATTATTTTCAACATTATTTAAAAGATACTTTGCACCTGAAATTATGATATAAATTTGAATGATCTGTAATAAGTGATGAACATGACATGTTCCAAATAGAATCTGTAAATTTTTCGAGCATCCGATAAATTCTATGTGGTATAATAGTTTCAGGATCTCCGAATGCAAAGCATAAGACATGATCATTTTTTATTCAATTTCGAAATTTTCCAACCAAAATTTTCGAGTATCAAAATCAAGATTTTGGGGATTCGCGCACCTGTACGGAACTTAAAGTAAAATTAATACAAAATTCGTTAATTAATTACGTGGTATTCGGACGAAGTTTTCTGTAGTTCGAGCACTAAGGACGCTTGTTGCTCGGTAACAACCGGTTCCCTGTTGCTTGGAGGCAATGGCGCTGGTTTTTTCTTTCGAGAAATTACTCCAGGTGTTCCTCCGGATTCGGTACTTGTTGGAAAGTCAAAAATCCATGTTATCGGTACTTTATCCTATGGTACATAGATTGCACGTACCAATGTGTACAAAAATAGATCAAACATTTACATAAAAAAAGAAATAAAAAAAAATTTGAGATTGATTCGTCGTTTGAGGACAAGCAATTTTATAGTTTTTAATGTCTGACATTAACAATTTTCGAGATATTCGACAAAGTGTTTTCCATCGCCAATATTGGGGGTTGTTTTCACTCTCTCAGCATACACATTTAGCAATAAAAAAACATACGCACGTAATACTTTTCGATGATCTACCTCGGTATTAAATTTCTTCAAAATCGACCATTATTTTTTACAGTTTGCATAACAATTTCTTGTGTTTTAAGTATTTACTTTTTTATTTTGTTAGCAAAAAGGTGTCATCCATAAGTGATGGAATGCAATTTTTATCCCGTGTACATCAGTCTATTTATTTTCAAGGGGTGGTAGGGAAGATGATGTACAATTCTATATATCACACACGCAAATTTTATATGTGAAAATTATAATTTATATAATATTTTGCAGCATTCGACAGACATGTTACGAGAAAGTGAGTACTCTCTAAAAATTAATAATTTTTGCAAATGCTTATGTATCCTTCTTGAAAAAAAGTCGCTTTTGTAAGAAAAAGTATATCCATTACATAATGTACAACATAATAGTATCATTGCTTATTTTCTTACAAAATTGTCCTCATGGTTAAGAATCTTAAAAAATGTATATAATTATACTGTTAAAATCCTTTTATATATATTAGCAAGCATAAAAGAAGTAAGAAAGAGAGTACATGGCAGTTTAGTAGATTTCTTTGTTTCTTCCTTTAAAAAATCTTGCTTATACCAAGGTGTATTCTCATATACATACATTAATAAAACTGTTTTGAGTTCCTTGGGCAGTATAAGAATTCTCGAAACACTATCTTTGGGCATATGTTTGTATACTCCAAAGAAAATAATAACCATAATCTAACCTAAAACTGTTTTGTTGAATAGCCAACTTCAAGTAATAACAATGTAAGTCGATAAAAACGCTTATAAATCGCATACAAAATAAAAATAAAAAACATTTACGTAGATTCAAATGCAACGTATACAAAACTTACTAAAATACTCTTACATTAAAATTCTTATCAGAGCTATAGAAATCTTTGTTTCAAATACATACTGCATAGTTCGTGGTTTAGGAACAGGCAAATGCTCAGGTGTCCTGTCTAGATATTCCAAATCGCTGTCATGATCATCGTCATCGCTCCAAAAAGGATTTAAACTAATTTTCGGTGCAGCCAAACGCCGTTTTGTTTGTACGTCCGTGAACACTTCTTGTTTAGGACTGTTGCTGAAATTGCTTCTCTTGGCAGGTATTGGCGGGGTGACTTTCTTTTCCTCCTTTTCTTCCGCTTCTTCAGTCTCTTCATTTTCAAAGGGATTTGTTGAATTACTACTCTTAAGATTGTCTGTACTTGTCGACTGATTGTCAACAACATCCTCCTCCTCATCATCATCGCAACTGAAGGGATTTAAACTTTTTTGATAATCTTTATGTACATTCAGATCACTGTCTTTTTCACAACATTCATTAACTTGCTCAACAGATGGAGCAGGAACTGTTTGATCTTCACTACTTTCTTCGTCTGTATTAACTGTTACAGTGTTTGTAGATAACTTCCAAGGAGGTGCTGATGACGCCTCAGACACAGTCGTAACATTCTTGTTGCTCTCTTGTATATTGAGATTCTTAACATTACTTGAAATATCGCTTTCCTCGGTACTAACTGGTTCAGTCGCTTCTGAACTCAATTTACCAGAATTTTTTCTAACTAATCCTAAAGAGTTCTCCTCCTCTGTACCTTCAATTCGATTAATTTTCGGACTCCTTATTCCGTCATCCAAAACTTTCGGTCCATTTATCTCTTCTAATTCGACTTTTACACCTGCACGATCTTCTTTCACTGTCTCTACTTTCCCATTATTATGTATTTTAGATTTTCGTTCTTCGGTACTTTGAGGTTTACTCTGCCTTATTCTCGTGTGATCTTCCTTCTCACGAGCCTCAAACAACTTCAACCTCTTTTGAACCAACGAAAGGCACCTCTCACTCTCCTCATCCTCATCGGTATGACCTAACAATTCCTCTGTATTATTTGTTTTAGTAACTAAACTAATAGATTTATCCTTATTTACGGCACGAGCCAAAGGAACACTGAATTTCTGTTCCTCCGTTTTCATGCTACAATTTAATTTATCACCTACATCATCCGTTTTCATTACACATATACCATCTCTTTCGATCATGTCTTCTTCTTCTCTATTCTGAGATTCAAGTTTCGAATAAGTGCCGGAGAAATCGTCATTTTGCCCGTTGTTTTCGTCCATCTTGACCGGGAATGACGTACCTAATCTAATTGTAGCTTCTGTTTCTATATTCACGACGTCATTCTCGAGAACATTCGAGGCTCCATCTGCCGCGTCCAAATTGGTAACGGTTTCTCCATTCTCTTCCGCGAGCAAATGGTTCGATATGAAATTCAATCTTAATCGTGACGTTTGTGCGACCAATTCAGGAATAACAGCGTCCTCGAATTGCAATCGTTTCGCAGAGCCACGACTACGTACGCTTCTGTCTGTTTCCTCGCTCAGAGATTCCTGGTCGCTCGAATCCGTGACAGTGTCATCGTCTTCTTCGGTCTTTCCCGACGTGTCGCCGCATTTCGGGATCTCGTTATATTTTTGTATCACAGACGACGAGATCCCCTCGTCGGGGCATGTCTCGCAGCAGAAACCGCCCGCCTCCGTCTCATAATAATTCCCGTGTGTTAACTGATTGCTGCAACGAGCGCAACGGAAACACGTCCGATGATAAGTCAGACGAGCGACCACCAACTTCTCCGCCAAGAAGACCGGAAGTCCGCACACAATACATGAATCTCTCCGCACACCCAGACACGACACCACCTGTGTAATAAACAAACGGTATTAGTTTTTTCTTTTGTGGAAGTTATTTCTATTTATGTGTTCTAACTATGTGTAATTTGTAATTATAAAGAATAAAAACATACGAATACAGGGCGTTCGGTTACTGGTGTCTGACACATTAAGGGGTGGTTCTATGTGCCAAACTACAGACTCCTCTCGATTATCGTCTGACTCGTTCTACACGATTATTGTCCAGACGTTATTCCCACCACTGGGGGGGGGGGAGAGAACCTGTCAAATGTATACTTTGTTGCCCCTTCACTTTTTTTGCCGAGGCTCGGGCTTCGGGTAAAAAACAAATTTACGAGAGTCTGAAGCATCTCTCCCTATAAGATTATTATCACGGCGCGGACCCGAGTTCGAGACGATAATCGAGAGGAGTCTGTAGAGGAAAAATCAAGAATAGCTAAATTGCATTAGACGCTTCGTTTTCGAGCTATTAATTGTCGAAAATCGTCTGACGCGATGGGTTAGGTTACTGTGACCGTGGGTTGGTCAGCTCATTCACCGTCGGTGCCGTATCCAATTAAAGAAACTTACTTACTTCGTGGCCATAGCGATGACGTATGACACCAGACGATACTGTAATGGTTCTTTTTTTAAATGTTATAAAAAACTTGGAGCGAATTGTTAACCCTTCAAGTGTTTTATTTCATTTTGGAAACGTCCGCTTGTGTGCTTAATTGTTTTGAAGCTATGACGAGTATACTTAACAAAATCAGAATAAATGCATTTGCTGTAAAATTGAAATGAATTCTCATAAAATGACAAAATTAACTTTTGCGACGTGAGCGTCGTATATTGTAAAAAAAAGGCACTTCCTCATCAAACAACCCTCCTACATATACTGCTGCATATTTTTTTTCTTTGTATATTTTCTTTTTTTTATTCTAAAGTATTCTAAAATGTGTTAAAATTACGAATATGTTTTCTAGTTTACCTAATTTTACTTTAAATAACCAATGCAAATTTTTGTTGTTGTTCAATGGCAAGTATACTTGTCAATGAACAAATTGTTTTTATTAAATTAATTTTAAACTTGTCTGCTGAAAAAAACTATTGTAGTATCGCCTGATGTCTTATGTCACCACTTCAGCTGTAAGGTTAGTGTGCCTTTCTAGGTGGATACGGCAGTGGCCGTGAATCAGTTGTCCAACGAGCGGTTGCAGTAGCTTAACCCGTTGCGTCAGACGTTTCTGACTCATATTTTCGAGAACTTATAACACGGAAACGAAGCCTTTAACGCAATTTTGTTGTTCTTGATTTTCGCTTTAGTTTGGCACGTAGAATCACCCCTTAAAGTTCTGACACCAGTACCCAAACACGCTGTATAAGAGGTTTTGTTACGTAGTATAATAAACAGTATTAATTTCATTGTACAATTAATCTGTTTAGTTGAAATACAATGGTAAGTAAAACATTTGTAAGTATACAATATAGATGCAGTATTATTTTTCTGTACATTTAGAACTTGAGTCTTCTCGTAGATAAATAATTCGATACTTTCAGGAACCCTATTATAGCCTACGTCCTGCGTTCACAAAATAATTGAATTTTTATACTTCTTGCTTTAGTTTCAATAAAAGTACTTTTAATTTATGACTGAGATTTTCAAGACGAAAATGACACCAACAATACTATTAATTTTCTAGGGGCCTAGAAAAAATCCAAAATGGCGAAGCAAGAGTCAAAATCACGATGTCTGGAAAACGACAGTATTCAAACTACACAGAACTTGAATTATTCAGATTCCATTTACTCAAACTACATTTTAACAGGAAAAAAAAACTTTTATAATTGATACACATGTATTGATGGAACTAATATAATGATTTTCGTATGAATTGTAATGAAGTTTCTGGCCAAGATGTAACGAACTTGTAAAATACTTGACAGTGGCTGCAAGGATCTCTTTATAGAAATCTGAGATGAATAGGCATCAGAGTCTATTCAGGGCCGTGGTATTTGTCTCGATTCCAATGCAGACCCAATTAAATCTCATTAGAAAATGTACAGGGTGTTCCAAAAAGATGGGACAATCCGCAACCTGGATATTCCTCAGGCAAATACAAATCGAAAAGTCCTTTACCGTTTTGTAATCTGGTGCTCCTTTTTCGAGATATTAGGAGTTGAACGAACTTCAATCAGTTGAGCAATCGGCCACACGTCCGCGCGTACATGTAGCCAACCGCTCAGCTGATTGGAGTTCGTTTAACTGCTTATATGTCGGAAATGGAGCTCCAGATTAGAAAACTGTAAAGAAATTTTCGATTTATATTTACATGAGGAATATGCATGTTTCGGCTTGCCCTATCATTTTGGGACAGTCTGTATTTTTCTCTGTTTATTTTATGGAACCCCTTTTTCCGTGTGACTTTCCCCAAGTCAAAAACAACGATCTAGAATTAGTAATGCGGGAGAACGCTGGCAATCCTTGAAGAGCATATGTCTCTTTTTTTATAGTGATAGTTTATTAATTTATTATAGTTACTTTTAGTATAAGTTAAGTTCTGTAATTTCATTGTTTCAGTGTTTATCCTATGTTCCAGTTGTGATATGGTCTTGTGGATTTTGGCGAGTAACCAGATTTAATATTACACAACGATTAGTCTTGAATTAATAAAAAAAATGATCGCTTTTAACTCGCTTGACGTCGAGTGTCCCCACTTTAGCTACGAGGTACGGGGGTTTTTCACGTGGTTACTGCCCTGAGCCCGTGAATCGGCTGGCCAGCGCGCGCTCACAGTATTTAACCCGTCGTGGTAGACGTTTTTCACCAGTATTTTCGACATTTAATTACTCAGAAACGACGCCTCTAACGCAATTTCGTTATTCTTCACTTTTGTCTTAATTTGGCACGTAGAATCATCCTTTAAGCTTTCCGATATCTTTTATCAAACACCTCGTGTAATGACAAAGATAAAATAACCTACGGATAACAATTTCGAATCTATGAATAAAATATTCCTACGCCAAAACGACAACACTAACCGTTCCCCAAATAACAAAATTATGAATAAACAACCTTGCTATCATTTAAAAAAATTACAGTAGTTAACTATTTTATTACGGGACTTAAAACAGTCCGATTGATACCGTGTTTGAACTCGTTTTCTTCGCGAACATCTCGCCAGTATATTAAAAATATTCTCATTTAGATAAAATAGAATTTGCAAATATGTTGGTAAATACAGATATTTTGGCAATTGCAGATGATTAATATAACAAGCTACAAAATTTGCGTTGACTTAGCATTCTGCGTTTAAAAAGTACAATATTCCACATAATAAAATTACGTTTTTTTTTTAAATCTCCACACTATTGACCCGTCCATAAAAAGCTATCTACATTACATGATGGTCCATTCCATACCAAACACCTTTCGTGAATATATTCTCTTTCACATTATTAATTTCCTAAAAGATATGTTCCAACATTTCCGAGGACCCAAATAGTCTGTGTTATATAGGCTATTCTTAAAATAAGGAACCAAACTGTCTGAGTGTATTCTATGCATTACAATGATTAAAAAAAAACATCCTGTAAACATGGGTCCACAAATCCATACATAAACATTAAAAAGAATCTCACAAAGTATTTGGCCATCCATGAAGTAGCCCAACAGTTGAACAATAATAAAAACACTTGTCTCAAAAAGAATCGTTTCAACGTTGTATCTTGAAAATAAATCATTTGTCAATCTGTATTTGTTTTCTTTTATCAAACTACAATGAATAAAATAGATTCACAAAATTTGGTCTCTTATTTTACGAACACCCTGTGTACAGAGTGTCTCACGTACCTGAGGCATGCCATAGCATTGAAACGGTAGAAGATAGACAAAAATTTCATTAGGTAAAATTCAATGGTTTCGAGTAATGCAGCACGTGGTGTTTTCTTCGAAAGTGGAAGCGTTTCAAAGATTTCAAGGTCACACCTATCTTTTTATAATGGAACAATACATTTTTTATACACCATTCGATGTATTTTTTAATTCTCTACAAAAAAGGATTAAGGTACTTGGGTGGAAAAATGATTAATTTCAAAGAATAAAATTAATAAATACTAAAACTTAAAGTATCTCTTAAACTTAACGTTTTTTGATCGAAGTACCTTAATACTTCTTTGTAGAGAATTGAAAAATGCATCGAATGCTGTATAAAAAAATGTGTAGTTCCATTTAAGAAAATAGACACATGCACCACGTGATGCATCACTTAAAACCATTTAATTTTTCCTAATGAAATTTTCGTCTATCATCTACCGTTTTAACGCTATGAAAATGACCCAGTTCCGTTGGATACTCTGTATATACAAGGTGGTCCAATAAGAATTAGCACTCGAATATTTCCGTTGTTTTTGAAGATATGAAACAAAATTTATTAACAAAAAATGTTTAGTATAGCGAGGGCTGTAGTATGGCAGTCATAATTTTTTGTGCAGATGAAAGAGTTTCGAGGATTTCAAGATCACCTCCATTTTTTTTTATCGAAATCATATTTTTTTATGCATTAATTGACGCAATTCGAAATTTTCTATAAAAAAGGTATTAACCTATGTATCTCGAAAACTTATTAATTTAGGAGATAAGTCATTGGAAGACGTACATACTAATATTACAATGTTATTTTAAACATGATGACTTAATACGACTGTCATCATAATTTCAATAGTAAAGGCGTTTAAGAGTAAGTAAATACTATGCCTTTGCGAATCTAACGTTTTAGATTAAACGTCCTACATCTCGATTTACTTGCTCGTAAGTAAGTTTATAATGTAATCATCTTTCCATGACGTATCTCCTAAATTAATAATTTTTCAACATACATAGGTTGGTACATTTTATAGAGGATGTCGAGCTGCATCAATTAATACATAAAAAATATATGACTTAATTTAAAAAAGTGAAGGTGACCTTGAAATCTCCGAAATTTCTGCAGCTGCAAAAAAATAATTACTGCCATATTATAGCACCCTCT